CCACATACATCATTGCAGTCCCGGTTGATATAGTAGAACAAATCAACTGAGCTACAGGACAATTTAGAGAACCTAGAATATCCGGTGTACATGGCAATAACTCGCATGTATACACACTTACAAAAATTGATGTAAATTTAGGTGCTCTGAGACTGACATATACGAGCGTCAATTTTGACAGAAAATTGAGGCATAACAGACGTGAAATTCAGCTCAATCAATCGAACTTTTCGTTGAGTAACGATCTTTTCAGTCTCGGCGCACTTAATTGAACATGACATGTTTGTTTACGTCTCAACCCTTATGTCAAAGATAGATTCCGTCACGTGTAAAATTAGTTATTTCTAAGTGTGTACGTTTCGTTTATGATTTGATAACGAAAAATGTTATGTTCATATTGGAAATAAACAACCATGAAAGTGTCTCACATTGGACAGACCCCAGGAAATTTCCGTGTAAATTCGGTGTAACTTGTGGAATTGAGATCATTTCTCAATTATTTGCAGGGTGTTTGGTTTGAACCGGTTAAAAATTGAGAGCCAAATGAACAACAAAATTGATGACAGCAAAATAATCCGGGCGGAAAGGTTACAATTAATTCCTAAATTTTTGTGACAGCACATCAGTCCTTTCGCGATTTTCGTGACTGAAAGTTCAAATTCGCGAAAAATCCGCGAAATTCGCGAAATCCACCCCTCTTGTAACTCTGCCCTGCATTTATTATATAAGACCACGTAGTCCTACGTCACCATTGCGTAAAGCTTGCTTCATTTAGAATTGGAACAAACTTTTGCTCATATTGTGGTGCTCCTGGTGGACGGATTTGGAAGTTCTTGGCGCCCACGTGTCGGGAATTTTGTCAGCTTCACGTATGTATTTTTGACATTCCGCAAATCGACTGTACTTTGTAAACAATCAACATGGAAGCCGAAAGAAGGGAAAAAATTGTGCACAGTTATTTGGAAAATCCATTGTGGTCTGCATTTAGGCTAGCTAAACAGCTGAAATTGCCCAGAAATACCGTATGGCGCGTTATCAAACGGTATAAGGAAACATTGACGACGATTCGGAAGCCTCAAGCCAATCGTCGGAGTGGAACTGTCGACCGGAAACTGCGTGGTAAGATTTTGAAGACGATTAAGAGGAATCCCAATCTGTCGGACCGTGATTTGGCCAGAAATTTCGGTGCTGCCCATAGTACCGTGAGGAGAACTCGACTCCGGGAAGGAATCAAGTCGTATCGAGCTAGCAAACAGCCAAATCGGACCATAAAACAGAATAGTGTGGCCAAAATCCGTGCGCGGAAGCTAAACGACCAGGTGCTGACCAAGTTCGACGGGTGTCTTCTGATGGACGATGAAACCTATGTCAAGGCTGACTTCGGGCAAATCCCAGGTCAAAAATTTTACTTGGCAACGGCTCGGGGGGATGTTCCAGCCAAATTTAAATTTGTTTTTGCCGACCAATTTGCACGAAAATTTATGATTTGGCAGGGCATTTGCAGCTGTGGCAAAAAAACGAAAGTTTTCGTTACAAATAAGACAATGACGTCGGAACTATACCAAAAAGAGTGTCTCCAAAAACGAATTTTGCCGTTCATTCGATCCCACGACCATCCCGTAATGTTTTGGCCAGATTTGGCAAGCTGTGATTACAGCAAAGTCGTTCAAGAATGGTATGCAGAGAAAGGGGTCCAGTTTGTTCCGAAAAACCTTAACCCACCCAACTGCCCCCAGTTCCGCCCTATTGAGAAATACTGGGCAATCATGAAGAGGAGACTCAAGGCAAAGGGAAAGGTTGTCAAAGACATCAATCAGATGAAGACCTGGTGGAATAAGATAGCTAAAACGATGGACGAAGAAGGTGTGCGCCGCCTAATGAGCCGTGTTACAGGAAAAATTCGAGAATTCCTTCGAAACCGTGACGAATAATTTTATCCGTATTTTTTCTTAAAAGGTTGAAGAAAACGCTACATTTGTATAAAAAAAGATCTTGAATTCAATAATAAATAATTGAAATACAGGCAATTGTTTTTGTTCCAATTCTATCTGAAGCAAGCTTTACAACCCCATAGGGCTGTCCCTTGTTGTATTTTTAACTACGATTTTCTAGTCTACACAGAAAAAAAAGTTGTCGAATATTACATCCAAACAGCTGCACAGAGGTCATTCCGCCGGCTGTGTAATATTACGTTGTACGATGTACATCGATTTTGCGAACAAAATTACATCTATTGATGTAATATTGTATCTGATTTTTGCTATTACATCATTTTTTCATACATCAGCTTGAATTACGTTGATCGATATTACATTTTTTTTTTTGCTGTGTATGTCAAAAGATTGTAAAGTTTGTGTTTGACGCATAAAACCTGAAAATTTTGCTTTGACAGAGTCACAATGAGCGATTTTCTGATCGCCTCTTCGCCAAGAGTGAAGAGCGAAGAGTGGATGAGATAAATGACAAAATCGGTTCGATTCCCGGTCCGGTCTAGGAATTTTTCCGGTTGGAAAATTTCTCGACTTCCCTGGGCATAGAGTATGATTGTACCTGCCACACAATTATACTAATGCAAAAATCCCAGACAACCAGAATACACGTATATTCAAAGTTGTTTTCGTGATATACAAACATATATACAAACAAACAATTCGTATATAATGCAAAGAAATGGCTTATACGCACAAATGTGGAGGCCATATACGTGCATATTTTAATTTAATTTTAAACGAGTTGATTTAACATCATATACGATTTAATCTGTAATAACATACTCATTTTGAAAAGTCTTACGATGTAATCCGATTTAATTTGTGATACAGTACGACGGAAAAATGATTTATCGCATATAAGTCGGAAATTTGCATTCTATACGATTTAACTTAAACATAATGCGAGGTTTGCCATTCTTATATGCGATTTTGACTTAAACTGTAGCAATTTACGATACTGTCTGTACATTGTTATACGACTTCTGGTTGTCTAGGATGGTAAAGGTATCGAAAGCTCTCAATTAATAACTGTGGTAGTGCATCTAGAACACTAAGTTGTGAGCACGCAATAAGCTAATAATGCCATACGCAATAAGCTTGAAATGCAAAGAAGAAGAAGATGTGTCAAACACAAACTTCACAAAATGTTATCAAAATATCTTATTATTCCATAATTTAATAAAACATTTTTTTAGTCAAAATGAATGGAAGGCACCCTGTTTCTAAATTTGAAGTTACCATCTTTGATGCATGATTTATTTCATACGGAACGTTCGTATATCTGTCTTAGAGTATCGGAAGTTACATGAGTTTTTCGTTGTGTTAACGTTTGTCATCTGAACGAGCTTCCAAGATCCAGCGAATTCTCAATGAGAGCCTTTATTTTATAAATCTTGTAGTGTTATGCTCATTTTGTTTTATCGAAACATGATTTCCTATAGAAGGGATTTAGCATCCCAAACAAACAGAGGAATATCATGAATTAATATAGCTTAACAAACAACCATTAGGTTCACAGGTATCTGAAAAATAAGATCGCACCTTAGGGGCATTACACTGATAAAATCAATCACTTAACCAGTGGAAAATATTCATGATAATCTCACATAACTTTCTTGTGATCCCATAATTGTAATTTGCACCACCAAATCACATGAACCTAATGTTTCCAATGAAATATATATATATGATAACTCACATAGAATTGATTATGTTATGTGATCTTCTCATAGAAACTACGGGTAAACTTTCCTGATGAATGTGGGCGTCTTAATGGAATACTTGTATAATGAGAGAGAGAAGGGTTAGTAATTTCCATTTAATTCCACTACCTTATTTGCTTATCCTTGACAGTTACGCGTATTTCATCTACAATGTGCAGACAAGACACTGCAGAAGTCTGCACATTGTAGCTGAAATACGCGTATCTGTCAAGGATAAGCAAACACGGTAGTGGAATGAAATACACACTTAAATTTTTTCGCCGAGATGGTGCGAGCAGCTTGGCATTTTATTTTGCTGGATCTCAGTGAAAAACTTGCCGAGATTCAGCTAACAAACGGAAATTTTGCCAAGATCTCAGCTAACAAACATATTTTTTGCTGAATTTCCAGCAAAATAAAATGCCGAGCTGCTCGTTGGTGCCCATCTCGGCAAAAAAATCTAAGTGTGTAGAAATAACTAATCCTTCTCTCTCTCATTATATGTAAACTTTGTTCAGTGTAGTTCACATTTTTCAGAACGTCGTCAAAAATGAAATCAGCATCCCAAAATGAGCACAATATGTGATTTTCAGCCAGATTCAGAAAGACTTTATGTTTTGACCAACGGCGGCCAGCCACTGTGTGTCGCCACATCCACCGTTAGCTTATGTTGCGCCAGCACCCGTCGGTCCGGAACGCCGCGCACACAACTCAAGAGACATTAATTTTGTCGCCCTAATTTTCAGTTGCATTCACTTTAAAACGCGGCCTATTGTCTCCGTCCGTTGATTACAGTGTTTCAAAAGTGTTTCTCACATGATTCTTCTCATTCAACGAAAACCTTCCCGCAGATTATACCTGTCTGTGTTTGTACGATCCGACCTGGACCACGAACTTCACTATACTGAATGAACCACAAAAGTTAGATCACTGTGCACACGGGGAAAATGGAACAGTCGAAAAACCGATCGAGAGAAAGAAATGCAACTACACTTTCTACTTTACACAGTCACTAACAGCCACAACAGCGGCCTGTAAGCTACGGTCAAGTTCAATCCCAACCCACCACGGCACTGGCTGTTATTGGGTGTTATTTGACTCACTCGTTCCAAATATCCATTTTCACTTCACGATTTCGGTTGCACACTTTCTCGTTCCGAGCGGAGCCCAAAGCGGCAGGCCAATAGAACTCTCTTCTTCAGCCGACTTTGTGAGAAAGTATGCATAAATCGTCGGTGGGACCCGATTTGGATTCATTTACACTGTCACATAAACCTTTTTAGTATGCATCTACGTACTAACTAACCTTCGAAGAAAATGATAAAAACTGAAGATATCACAAAAACTATTTCAACACAACACGGGCGCGCGCGCGATTCAAATTTTCGTCTGAACACTACTGGGCAAACGTTGCGATTCGGTTTGATTTTCTTGGTGGGAAGATCACAAAACGCGTGCTGATCCGTCGAAGTCGCCTACCGGACTGTGAAGATCAACCGCCGAAACGGTGCTTCTAGCGCTTTTGCACGATTGTCGAGCCCATTGATTGTTGTCGTTGTCGCTGTCGTCATCGACAAAGGCTAAGTTGTTCTGCTATGTACAACTCGGCTGCAGAGTGATTGGATCCTCATTTATTTTACTCTCCGGTCATCTACCACCTCTGCCTAAACAGTGAGCAAAATTCCTATAAGCGCATGGATATTTTTTTCAAAATAACGAAAAATCGGCTTCAATCCCGAGCACAGTCCAGAGATAGCAAATCGAAATCAAATTTTTAAGTTAATTTGATTTCAGTTAACGATTGACAATTTTGATATCAAATTGTGTTCCTAAAATTTGAGCTAAGTAGTCGCACTCAATATTGACCAGTGCCCTTAAAATATAAATCTGCCTAAAATAACGATGCGTCCGCCCTTGACGTTGATGACCTTGTTTCAAAAAGTGCAACGTCTAGTTGATATAGTGCGCTGCAAAACATTTGCACTTTACCGCTGCTGCACGACGAGCAGCACCGTACTCTACAAGTGGCGAAGGTGGCATTTGCCACACAACAAGATCCCGAGGGGAGGAAAATCGTTCTAATGTTCCTTGAACATCTGCGAAGTTTCTTTATAGTTAGAGGAAATGGATGTAATGTCGGCCTAAATACCCCTAATTTGGGCCCGTACATAAATTCAACCATCGACTAAATTTTCAATAGCGACCAAAAATATTCATTAGTACCGTCCCAATGATGCATTCATCTAGGTAAAATTAATAAATAGCAGATGTTTAGCGATGGGCCCAATCTTAGATCCATAGGCCAACATTAAAGCCATTTCCCCTACTTCTTGAAATTATGATTGATTTCCAAAAGTTCCGTCAACATTTTCCAAGCACCATGATTTTTGTTTTATAATTTATCTCATAGCATACATAACTTTTTTTTTAAATTTCAGGAAAAGCCTTGAACAATTTCTAGAAACTGTCCTAAGCATTCATGGGCAAAACCTCGGGCAAATAAAGTTCCCAAAAATACCAGTAAGTTACCCAATCAAAACAGTATGAAGCCGTTACTGCGCTATCCAAAGCAACGAACTTTTGTTTCTCCGAGGCACTCGGTCGCTCTACTTAAGTCTCAAGTACGAGACTAAATAAAGGGAAGATTATGGATATGATGATACTTAAATTCAAAAAAATACCAGTAAAAAAATATAAAATATGGATTCACTTTATACGATTTACTTAATGTTGTTTTACGCCAGAGATACGATTTACAAATTATTACCAATTTGGTTTCTACGTTACTGTTCAATTTATGCTGGAGGACATCAATTGCCATCCATTAACGGTAATCGAATGTGCAGGAAGGCAGCTTCCACACCTGCGTAGGATATCGCACCCATTCACAACACACATGGGCCGGGACCAACGGCTTTACTTCCCTTCCGAAGGAAAACGTGACCAGGGATTTTTATGCCTCAGAAAAATCCCACCCACCTCGGCTGGGATTGAACCCAGACTCATTGGGGTGAGAAAGCAGTCACGCTTATCACTACACCACCGGCGCTGGCTTTATAAATATATGTAGATCAATGCAAAATGACACATCAATGTTACAATTGTTATTACCGTTGTAAACCTTAGTAAGCAATACGTTTTCAGTTTTAGTACCAGGTTTTTACGTTTATATCAGGTTCTTGTTTCAGACATACCCAAGAGCTCGTGGTATTACTGTCGAAAGTTTTAAATTAGTCAAGAAATTTTAACACTTTCGAAAGTGAGTCTATCCTTGAACGAATAAACATTTTCCCTGCTGAACTTAAGTTACTAAATATTTCATGAGCTGAATACACAGATTCAGTGTTCCAGGGCTGGTAGTAGGTTACTTTTTAGTGACTTGGTCACTATTTTGAAGCCAGTCACTAAAAAGTCACTTTTTACACCAAAAAGTCACTAAAGTAACTATTTCCCTAAAAATAGTCACTAAAGTCACTTTTTCAGTACTAAATAAAGTGAAATTTATAAATATAAAAAAAAAATTGGGTACATGGCACAAAGAAAGTCTACAGTAGCTTTAATCAATTATGCATATCTGGTCACCGCAAAACTGTAGAACACTAGGAAAGCTATTGGGAATGCCTTCAAATTCGATAAAAATCGGAGAAAATATACCTCCTTTCCCAGAAAATAAATTGTAAATCTTGGAAACTATCCAAAGGTATTTGTGTGTGATAGATTTTCAAAAGTCTTTCAAGGATGATTAAGAACTTTAAAAAAATCAAAGTAATTTTAAGAGAATTTAAAAGGATTCTAAGGATGACACCAAGATAGGGTAACCAACTTGAATTGGACCCCTACATATTCTGGACCCTTTTCATATATTTTCCTCGCTTACTGTCTGGTTTCTTCAAATTCATCTGGGTTGATGTTGTAATTACATTCTTTCAATTACTTGCTATGTCTCAAGATCATTAGTTCACCTCAAATTGCTTACAATTGCTCAATTTATGCAGTTTTAGAAAATGTTATCGAAAAAGTTTCATGTTTCGACGTTTGTCAAGAGGAATCGGCGTTAGTGTACTTGTTTTAAATTTGGTCTAAAATATACAATTCAATGATTTTTTTTATCAAATCAGTTTATCTGACTTTGGAAGATGTATTTCACGTGTTTATGAAGATTTCACTTTAAGATTTTACTTAAAAAGTATTAAATAAAAAGTGTCCAAAAAAGATTGTAAAAAATGTTACCAACTTATTTTGGACACTTATCAAATGAGAATCATCAAAAGAGCGACAAAAAAAAAATTCCGGTTGGTCGATCGTGCTATAATCTCAGATTTTTGATTAAATTGGTAAGTAAATCAATCAAAATTATATGAATTCATTGTTTTTAAATATATTTCTTGTTTATCAGGCGATTCAAAATGAGAAAAACGGCAAAACACGTAGAGCGGCTCACTCTGAGTTTTCCTAGTTTTCCTAGTTCCTAGTTTTCCACAAAAGTTTTCCTATCTCCCAAACGCATTTAACTAAGGGGCTGTTCATAAACTACGTAGACGATTTAGGGGGGTGGGAGCGCTTGGCAGATGTCTACGGTCCATACAATTTTTTAAATTTTGTGTTTGAGACTGTCTTCTACGGAAGGGGGGGGGGCAGACAACCAGAAGTCGCATAACAATGTACCGAGAGTATCGTAAATAACTACAGTTTAAGCCAACATCGCATATAAGTATGACATACATCGCATTGTGTTTAAGTTAAATCGTATAGAACGCAAATTTGCGACTTTATGCGATGAATCATTTTTCCATCGTACTGTACCACAAATTAAATCGGATTACATCGTAAGGCTTTTGAAATTGAATTTGTTATGACAGATTAAATCGTATATGATGCCAAATCAACTCGTTTAATAAGAAATTAAAATTTGCACGTATATGGCCTCCACCTTTGTACGTATAAGCCCTTTTTTTGCATTCTATACGATTTGATTGTTTGTATATATGTTTGTATATCACAGAAACAACTTTGAATATACGTGCATTCTGGTTGTCTGGGGGGGGGGGGGGTTGAAATCTCTCAAAAACCGTCTACATAGTTTATGAACAGCCCATACAAAAAATAATATGGACATAGAGTCAGGTCTCCGTATTAAGATTTACTTCTGAATGATTTTTTTTATGGTATGATCAGTTATTTCCTTATGTTATATTATATTTCCTCCGTTACTCGCGCCAACTTTTGTAACACGAGTACTCACGCGTTGTACTTTGTATAACAGTGTGAGTTTTCCATTTCCATTTTGCAGCCGAGCTACCAATCGATCTGAAATCAACGAGTATTCCTCAAAAAACTTGCTGTTAACTAAACAAGCTTAATATTTATTACAGTTAACCCCCAAAATATGCGGATAATAGAGAAAATGTAAATGGAAACCGCGTAAATTGTGTCCATACTACGAGGGTTCTGACTTAATTGGTTACAACATGGAATATCTCGAGATCCTGACCAGATAGAAAGTTACTGTCTTTGCCAAAGTAGTTCTAGAGATCATAACCTTTTTGCTGGTGATCAGTAGTTCAAAATTTACTCACTACATAGCGCTAGTATACATGTGAAGTTCTCGCATGTAATATATCTCGAAATCCTGACCAGATAGAAAGTTACTGTCTTCGAAAAAGTTGTTCAGGAGTTCAAAGCCTATAGTTCAGAATTTTTTCACTATATGGTGCTAGTATATACGTGAAATTCTCATATAAAATATCTCGATATCCTGATCATATAAAAAGTTACTGTCTTCGGCAAAGTTGTTCAGGAAGTCAAGGCCTTTTTGCTGGTGGACTTAAGTTCAGAGTTTTCTCACTTTGCAACGCTAGTATACATGAGGAATTCTCGCATATAAAATATCTCTAGATCCTGACCAGACAGAAAGTTACTGTCTTCAGCAAAGTTGTTCAGGATGTTAGGATATTTTCGTTAGTGTACAGTAATTCAGAATTTTCCCTTTACGTGGCACTAGTATGCGGGTCATTCAGAGATATTTTATATGCAAGGATTTCACGTGTATTTCAACGTCACCTAGTGAGAAAACTATGTACTTTCCACCAACGATAGGGTTTGATCTCCTGGACAACTTTGCCGATTACAGTACATTTTTAGCAGGTCTTGAGATATATCATATGCGAGAATTGCACGTATATACTAGTACCATGAAGTGAAATATTCTGAACTACCGTCCACTAGCCAAAAGGCCTTGATCCCCTGAACAACTTTGCCCAAGACAGAACATTCTATCTTGTCATGCTCTCTAGATATTTTATATGAGAGAATTTAACGTGTATACTAGAACTACATAGTGAGAAAATTCTGAACTATTCTACACCAAGCAATAGGCTTTGACCTCCTGAACAACTTTTTCAAAGACAGCAACTTTCTATTTGGTCAGGATC